GTTGCTGACTGGTATCTTCGTCGTCGTTGCGTCGGTCTTCGTCAGCCGTTGTTGTGCTGCCACGCCCCCGTCTGGCAGAGGGCAATGGGCAGGTTCTAATCGCCGACCTTACGCAGTCTGCCTCAGTCCCCCAACAGCCTGCGCGGCCTTTTTAACCCGGGCGACGACCGAGCCGGTATAATTTTCGATGGCTTCAATGTCATGGCAGGTGGCTAAATTTTATGGAGACTTGCCGCGTTCTTTAACCCTCCTGCTTTCTCATCCGGGCTTGGGACCGGCAACGGCTGAGCTTTATAACCGTTTATCATTTAAGAAAGTAACTGATACTAAGTGAGGCTTTAAAATATTGGATTTTAATGAGGCACTGATTTAAATACGTTTGCGATAGAATCCGTAGCATAAGTTAAAAATATTTTTTATTTAAACAGTAAGCATTTTGAAGTATGGAAGCGTAGAATCAGTTATCGAATATCAAAATTCGAGTTAAGACAAGTACTGCGAACATGATCACTGGAGCTAGAAACGAAGGTTTTCCGTCGTTACAAGAATTCGTAACATTAGCTAACTGAACACTGCCTTATAGATAGACTATCAAAGAATGTTTTGCATCCTTCAGGTGTATCTGGACCTCGATACCATGAGCACAAGGCAGTCATCAGATTTCCTTGATAGTTTTGCAGATGCAATGTGCTGACATCGTTGATCAGAATCCATGGGACAAATGTATGCTTTGCTGGCAGAATTTCTTCGGTCAGTCGTGCCATTTCAAACTGCAGCTTAACGCCCAGGGGCCCCTTTCGACAATCGACCACTTTGCGTCTTTCCCAGTCCTTGGCATCAATGCGATCGAAACACTCTTCTTCAGCAACATTCGGATCTGTGCCGCCGTGAAGAGCTTCTTCCATACAGATTATGAATGGGAACCACTTGTCTGGGCTTCCCAAGCGGTTGATGGCGCAGCTATGAAGTTTATTCAAGTCGCATTCCTGCGGCCCGTGTTGGCAAATAATCT